GAGAGAGAGAGAGAGAGAGAGAGAGAGAGAGAGAGAGAGGCAAAGAGAGGCAGAGAAGGGCAAAAGAGAGATGCAGAGAGGAAGAAAGAGAGAGAGGCAGAGAAAGGTGGGATCTCTCAGAGTTCAAGGCCAGCTTAGTCTGTATAGCAAGTTCCAGGACAGTCAGCACTACATAGAGAGTTCCTGTTCAAAATAACAAAAGTCAAAACCAAACAAACAACTCTGTAATTTTAAGATTGATTTTATGTATACTTATATAAATGGGTGAAAGTTTTATTTTATATTTTTATGACAATCCCAGTTCCCTTCTCCCTCCCTTCCTCCCCTACTATCCCCCAGCTAAAATCCTACCTACCATATGTCCTTTCTTCTAATCTACACCTGAAAGTTTTATAATTAAAAGAGTTAAGTAACATTATTAACTTTTCTTTCGAGTACTTATTTTGATGAATGAGTGCTTAACACTGAACTGGATATTCACACCACCCCCTCCCTCTAAGGCTCAGGCATTATCATGGAAGAGCTAGGTGGAAAGACTCTGAGATCTGGAAGATAGGGAGAAGGGCTGTAACATGCTATCTTCTGGACATGGCACAGCCATTTCAGCCACAGCCTCACAGTTAGCTGTGGCTACCTGCAGTAAACTCACACAAGACTGGGAAGTCAACAGTCCATCGTGATCTAGAGGCATTTAAAGGGCCCATTTTACCCTGTTTAGCTAAATTGTCTCCCGATGGATTCTGGGGGACAGGCAATCATTTGTTTCAGTTGTGTACCCAATCAAAAAGCCCATATTTAAATGAGTTTTAAACCCATGGTAATGTGGAGGATGCTGGATAAACTCAGTGAGTCTCACAACAACAACAACAAAACAGAGAAAGACTGAGTGAGATGGGGACATTAGGAAGAAGGGAGGTGTAACATAGGGGTAGAGGGAGATGAGGAAAGGGTGGGGTCATAGTATCAGAATGAACAGTATACATGTATGGAACTGTCAAAGAACAAGTCTAATAAAAGTTTTTTAAGTCCATAGTATAATTAACTATTCTCTCTAGTATCAGAATGAACAGTATACATGTATGGAACTGTCAAAGAACAAGTCCAATAAAAGTTTTTAAAGTCCATAGTATAATTACCTATTCTCTGCTTGGAATAAAAGCTGTCATTTCTTATAGGGGACAGTACCTTCTTATGATGAAGTGTTATGATCTTGCAAAGCTCACTATTCATCAAATGGCAGAAATGAACAAAGGTAAATGCAACTAATTCAAAATAAAAATGTTAAAGAAATATTTCTCCATTTTTTGCTATTTTTAATACCTATGTATTGTTATTGATAGCTTGAAGATTCACATGAAAGACAAAGATTTTGAAACTTCAGACTTAACTTTTACATAATCAGCTTGTATAGTGATTCATAGTTTGGACAGTTTTGTGAGAGCACACACTAGACGATATACCAGGCTTATGATTTTACTTTTTTTTGTTGGTTTGTAATTGTAATAACCTTTTGTTTTATGACAATAGAAGGTTTGGTATGGTGTTGATTTGTCATTTTATGTTGCAAAAATAATATGATACTATGCAACTCCCTTAAAATGCTACATGGCAGGGGTCCTGATAAGCTTTCCTTTGCTTTCAGGTCTCATTGAGCTGACACCAATACAGAAAGCGCTCATTTACTTATTTTGTGAAAACCATGACAAGGCTATTCAAATCTTGGAAGTGGTCACAGCTAGTAAACCAGAGATCTCTACTTTTGCACTCTTAGCAAAAGCCCAAATGAAGGCCAAGAAAATCAAGGTGAAAAATCTGCTGATTGATGTTTATTAAACTTAGTAATTGAATTCACACAGTATGCATACGGATGACATTTAAATATTTTTACAAAATGAGATGATAGAATTTATATATGAACTATTCATTTATCCTAGTAAGTGTATCTGAATTTATTATGCTATATATTGATTTTCTATGAAGCAAAATATGGGATTTCCTTTTAAACATTCTGTTAAAATAGAACTGCTGAAAATATTATTGTACCTGTCCTGTTTCAGGATATATTTCTGGGAGTGGATTGTTGGCCTGCAACACTGTCCTGTAATGCTGTGCAAAGGTTATTGTACCCACTTTGCTGACCAGGAAAGGCATTGCCAGGCTTTCTCTTTGGCAATCTCACTGTGGTCCACCCATGCCTCTGAACTGGAGTGTCAGGATGAGCATCATTCAATGTTTGCCAGTCACTTGTGCTTTCTGTTCTGTTAGTTCTCTACACTTATTTTTGTTTCTCTCCTTACTTTTTTATGTATTTTAAAAAATTGGTTCTCTGTAACTATCCTTGCCTGAGTGCTGTGGATCATCACATCATTTGTGGCTTCTTCTACTGTGCCTTTTGATGAGCAGACATCCTCAGTGTTCCTCATTGTGTTTGCATGTATCTACACTTGATGAGAAGATATCCTTAGTGTGTTTGGGTGTATCTACATTTGATGAGCAGATATCCTCAGTGTGTTAGTGGGTATTTACATTTGATGAGCAGGCATTCTGAGTGTGTTCGGGTGTATCTACTGTAAGTGTTACTTTCAGGTGATTAATTTTTCAAAGAAGTTCTTCCCTGTCCTATATTTTCTTAGAAAATTTCAAGTTGGACTTTTTCTATGAAAAGCTTCAAAAAGATAATTATTGCAATTTAAAATTCATTTTAACATACATAAAATATAAGATATATACATATTAGTAGGGCACCATGTAATATTTTGGTTTAAGTATACACTGCACAATTTTAAATCAGGCTAATCATGATATGTCTTCCAACACTTGTCATTTTAAAATTACACCTCAGTTTTTTGCCACTTTGTGACTTCTCCAGTTAATGACCATTTTTTTCCTTATCACTAAAAGTGTCAAATCTTGATAATTTTCTATGTCAATTGTTATAGTAGGAAATTACCAATATGGAGTCAGGTAGAAATATAAGGGTATTTAATAGGGAAAAGCCTTACTTACAGAGCGAACCAGCCAGCCGGTGGTAGTCTGTACAGCAAGAAGCAAAAAGAGAAACCAAAACCGAAATGCAGTCCCCCTACTCACTCTGACTACACCCTCACAAGCCTGCTCAGGTAGGTACTCCTGTAGCCAGAAGAAGGCGTGGCTACAGCTTCCCCTACAATTCCCCTTTTAGTCTAAAAGAGGATTAAAACTTATGTCACCTCCTAACTATCTATTTTAACTAAACCCTAAAGTCATCTGAAAGAGGTGTCCAAGCCTGAACACCTCCTTCCAAACCGAACCATAAACAATAGGAAGC